TTAGACCCCTTCACTGACATGAGTACTGATTGTCACAATATACGAGGAAACATATATATATAACCAAATCACTGCTGTACACCTGAAACTGACACAACATTTTAAATCAACTATACTTGAATAAAAAAATTTTTTTTAAATCAAAGTGAGCAGAAGAAATGAAGTAATAAGGTCAGAGTGGAAAACTAGAAAACAGAAAACAAAAACAATAGAAAAAAATTAATGAAACCAAAAGTGGTTCTTTTAGAAAAATCAATAAAATTGATAAACCTCTAGCAAGACTGATCAGGCTAAAAGAAGAGAAGACACAAAATACCAATGTCAGGAATGAAAGAGAAGACACCAATTAGATGAGATTCTACACTACTTAAAGGGATAGTTATTATGATGGTGTTTTTTTTTGTTTGTTTGTTTTGTTTGTTTGTTTTGGCAGTACGCGGGCCTCTCACTGCTGTGGGCTCCGGACACACAGGCTCAGCGGCCATGGCTCACAGGCCCAGCTCCGCGGCATGCGGGATCCTCCCAGACCAGGGCATGAACCCGCGTCCCCTGCATCGGCAGGCGGACCCTCAACCACTGCGCCACCAGGGAAGCCCTATGATGGTTAATTTTATGTTGAATTTGACTGGGCTAAGGGTTGCCCAGAAAGCTGGCAAAACATTATTTCTGGGTGTGTCTGTGAGGTGGTTTTCAGAAGAGATTAGCATTTGAATCTGCAAATCTGGGAGTTAGAAAGGGCTCTGATAGTTTGGTTGACTGGCTGAAACATGGACCAAAAGATGGCCTGTTGTGAATGAATCAGAAATGCCCACCCTCCCTTGGTTTAATGTACAGGGCGGAATTCAAAGGTTTAGGGAGATTGGATTATTAAAGTGGATTTGTCATTCAAGACCTACTCACCCACACTGGGAGGTCCAGAAGACAAAACTTTCATCAATACTATGAGAAATAAATTGGCAAAGGGAGTGCTAGCATTCTTGAAGAGCTCTATGATCTCTCTTCTCTGTATGGCTGACTCAGAATTTAGTGTCTAGAAATAATCCCTTCAACCATGTAGCACTAATTCCATTATTTTCCAATACCTGAAAGAGAAGTATTTGCATAATCTCTTGGACTGGGGAGGGCCTCAGTTACATTTTGTTCTGCTTCCCAGACACCTAGCCACTGCTAAGGATGGAAGATTCTAGGTTGACTTAAAAGTATGCTTTTGGGCCTCTCCAAATTAGAGGTGTAAGAGCATCAATCAACAGCATAGATAGGTATTTGAGAAGAGGCTGGAGGGAGAGGACCGATAGTCTAAGATGGGGCTAAGACCTCAGAATACTGGTCAACTAAGACAGAAATCCTAGTCTGAATGTTAAGGTCATGTTTCTCATCTTTCTATAAAATCCTACTCTACTGGTGTTGTGGGGCTGTTTGTTTGTTTGTTTTTAAATGCAAATTGTGGGTGACTGACCTATGACAAAGGATCTGGTATAATTCTTCCTCCCCAAAATGAAGGGTCACTTTTCCTCCTGTTAAGGCAAGACAATGAAATTAAACAGGAGAACCACAAAGATAGGAGGATGTGTTGATCTTGCTTCTCAGAGACAAAGTGGTCCATGAGAAGGTGAGGCAGCCGTGAGTGTACGTCTTGTCCCTCTTATTTTTTTTATTTTTATTTTTTAGCCATACCACACTGCATGTGGGATCTTAGTTCCCTGACCAGGGATCGAACATGCCTCCTGCATTGGAAACGTGGAGTTGTAACCACTGGACCGCCAGGGAAGTCCGAGGTCCCTCATTTTTTAGTGTCCTTTTCTTTCCCACAAAAAGTGGGTTGTACTCACATATGAACCTGGATTTAAAACCAGAGATTTTGGCTCCAGAGTCTGGGCCCTTAAAAACTATGGGAATGGTCGAAGGGATGTTTAGAAACTGCAATATTAAGAATAGAACTCAAGGGCTTCCCTGGTGGCGCAGTGGTTGAGAGTCCGCCTGCCGATGCAGGCAACACGGGTTCGTGCCCCGGTCCAGGAAAACCCCACATGCTGTGGAGCGGCTGGGCCCGTTGAGCCATGGCCGCTGAGCCTGAGCGTCCGGAGCCTGTGCTCCGCAGCGGGAGAGGCCGCAACAGTGGGAGGCCCGCGTACCGCAAAA